ACAAATAATATTGCACACTTTTACCAAGATTAGAGGTTATTTTTTGGAATTATCTATCTAATGGGCACACAAAAAATTGACTTTGAAGGTCACAAATGAGACTAAGGGACAGGTAACAATGGCATCTGAGACAGCTTCTTCCAAAGACATTGCAGACTTGATATGAAATGTAGATAGCTTCACAGAAGCAACTAGCACCACTCAGAATAAAGTGTACCAGGAATTTCGTTATTTCTCACTGGCTAATGTTTCACTTAAAAAATTCAGAGGAGGTCAGTCAGTGCAGAACAAAACTCACTGAACAAATATTCATGATGGGGCTGGGGCTGTAGCTCAGTGGTAGAGCGCCCACCTCACACACATGTGAGGCACTGGATTCAATTCTTGGCACCACATAAAAATAAATACACAAAAATATTCATGATGATAAATTATGTCAGACATTATGTCAGACACTACAATTACAGAAATTAGTAGAGCATACATGGTTCCTGATTTTAAAAGTGTATAGTCCAGGATGGAAAGTAGAGGATAAACAAATACCCATGGTTATCATAGTAACAGAAAAGTAAAGAACTTGTGATTGTTGTGGTAATTAGGAAATTGAACTTAAATTGGGGAAGGGTGGTCAGGACAAGCCTCTTTGAGAACATGGAATATAAAGTCCAGAAGCAAAGGACAGATTGATTTCCCTGGGCCAAGGACAAAAGAGAATAAGAAGTGATGTTTGGGGTACTTACTGTGTTTCAAGCACATTAATCTTTACAGCACCTTATGATGAAGGTTCATATTAACATGCCATTTTATACGTAAGAGAAGGGAGGCTCAGGGAGATTAGCACTTTAGCAAGGCCACACAAGGCTACCAGACAGAAGAGGCAAGACTCAAACTTAGGTCTAGCTTCACAACCCACATTCCCAAGATTAGAACATTAACCTTTAAGGTTAGATTCCAATATTTAATCCTCACTAAATGGCACTAAAGTTTTGGCCTACAAAATAAAGAACAAGGTTAAATAGTTTCTTATTGTGTTCCGTCCTTTAGACATACACTTCAATTAGTGTGAGTTTTATTTTTTTAAGCCGTAATTTGATGAGTATCCAAATTATGTTTTATACATATATCTTTAGTTAGCCGTAATGTGGTCTTTTTACATCCAAGACTTTAAAGCGTATAAAAACTAACACTTCCACTGTATTACCTTATATTTGTATGGCACTCTAAAATTTCACAAAGGATGCTCACACAAATTTCAGGATATTTAGGCAGATACTTGCATTTCTTAGTTCAAAATTCAGGAGTAAAGAGTAAAGCTTACTATTCAGAACTGCAGATCACATGCTAGATAATCTAAACGTGTAGGTAACTCCTTTCCCTAGCAACTAGGTTTCTAGAAAGACTGTTTCCATTAACTGCTAATAGTTCTAACTTTCTATGACAGACTGAAAAATAGTCCCCCAAAGATGTCCACACTGGGTCCCTGGGAATGTAACTGCATGCAGCAAAAGGGTCTTTGCAGATAGAATTAAGATTGCAAATTAGGACCTTAAACAAGGAGAATGGCCTTGCTTATCCAGGTGGGCCCAGTGTAGTTACAGGGACCCTTCAAAGAGGAAAAGGAAGTCAGAGAGAGAGAGAGAGAGAGAGAGAGAGAGAGAGAGACCGACAGGGAGGAGAGATTTCAAGAGGGAGAGGCCAGGATTCTACCTACCACCGGAGGCTTTGAGGATGAAAGAAATGGACCATTGAGTCAAGGGCATGGGTGATCTTGAGAAACCAGAAAGAGCCCTCTGCAAGGAAACAGGGTCCTTAAGTCCTACAACCTGAGAGACTGAATTCTGCCACCAACTTGAATAAGTGAGGAAACAGATCATCCCTGAACCCTTGGCCTGAAGATTGCCTTGCTGACACCTTGTTTTTAGCCTGGTGATACTTGTGTCAGACTTGTGTGCTATGGAACTGTGAGAAAATAAAACTGTGTTGCTTTAAGCTGCAATGAATTAGTGGCAGTGTTATGGCAGCAGGCAAAATTAATATTCTTCCTATACTCTATTTCTTGCTTCTCTGAAACTTATCTTTGGAACTGTTGCTACTAACAAGTCAAGTTCAGGAGCATTTCTGGAGATCACTATTGTCTCACCCTTCTGACTTCATGGCCTGCCGCCTCCTTGGACCTTCTCCGCCCTCAGTTTCCATGGTACACCTTCTTGCCTCTTTCCCTCTTCTGTGCATCTGTCATGGACACTTTCTCTAGTCTTCTGAAATGTTGGTATTCTTTAGGGGTCTGTGTTCTCAAGCTTTCATATATATTCTTGGTTTCAACCTAAAGCTAGCTAAAGATTCCTAAACCTTATCCACAGTTCAGAGGTTACTTTAATTCCAATGAATCTCCACAAAGATGTCCCCAAATCTCCAATAGTTTGAACTTGTTCTTTCCTCCAAAACCTGCTTCTCCATTTTTTATTCCCTTCTCCTATTAACAGCACCTCTAGTCAACCAAATCAGTCGCTTGTACCATTTTCCTAAGAGTCTTCTCTTGCTGATTTCCTACATCATTGGTAAATAAAGCCATCTGAGTTCCCCTAGAATATCTCTATTTTTATACCACAGCCTTAATTTTAAAACCTATCTTTTCTGAACAGTATTAGTAAGTTGCCACTTTATGCCTTCATTTCATTTCTTGTATGATTTTTTTAACACAAGTCTTCATTTATAACCTGTTTATAAAAATAGCCAATAGTTCTTGAGAGTTTTCAGCATAAAATCCACTCTAAGACTCATTTCTTTCATTCTCAGCACTCATCTATTTAACATACACTTCCTTCTATATGTTTTTGTAAATTTTTTTGATGCTGGGGATTGAACCCATGGGTACTTTACTACTGAGCTACATCCCCAGTCCATTTTAAAAATATTCTTTGAGACTAGGTGCAAGTTGCTCAGGCTGGCCTCAAACTTATGATCCTCCAACCTCAACCTCCAAGCCACTGGGATTCCAAGCAGGCACTGCCATGCCCCACCTATATATATGTTTTCTTCTAAATGAGAAGTCCTTCTGCTGTTACTCAGTCATATAGCTGACTGAGGTACTGGCCACTGCTGGCATACACCAGGAGTGGTGTCTGAAAATTGCCTATAATTTAAAGTTTTCATTGTCATGTCACTTCAAGAACTCAACTCAATGACATAAAGCACTTTTTGAGCTTGACACCATAGCACCAAGTTTCAAGCTCTATTATTAAAAGGGCAAGTGATTCAACTGCTCTGGGCCTGTTTTCTCATTTGTGTAGGGAAAGGGTTGAACTAGATGATCTAAAGTTCCATTAGAGTTGACAGTTGCAGTGTTCAAATTAAGAATACTAACGTTATTAGTCAGTGCACTAACACATTATTAAGTTCATTTACAGCACTAGTCAATATCTACAGACCCACCAACACACCTACATCCTTTACACACAATAATTAACCTTATGAACAAGATATGTGAGACGAAGAATTTAGAGTATATTTTTCAAAGAACCTGGGGTCAAAGTCTAAACGTGACTTGTAAAATCAAACCAAGAAAATACTAAGGCAAAACTGCACATGGAAAATAAGTCAAATTTAAAATTACCAAAAGGAGGGCTACCAGAGTGATATAAAATCTTAAAAACAGGCAAAAACATAATACTAAGTGAAGTTTTGCTGATTTTTATGCATCAGAAAGTTTCAGTATAAATTCGCTCTAATTTGCGACTTCTTCCCAAGGAGGCGTTATTTACCTTCTCTCTCTGCTCCTGAACTTTGTTGTCTTTTGCTTTAAAATCCCAAGCAAACGCCTCTCCCTTGTTGCCTGGGAAGATGCTATTAATAAATTCAGCTAAAGTGTCTGATTGATAGTAAACAGGCTTTAGGAGATAATGAGTCTCCAGTAATTAGGGCTTCATTGGATTCAACACAACCCCTTCGCGCGGTCCCCAGTGACGCACTTTGGGATCCACGAAGCGTATCTAAGGAGTCACTGGCCACCTCCACCACGAGGGTTGGGTCCCTTCGCCTTTACGGAGGTGGGATGGATTAAGCTGAGCCAAGTTTGTTCTTTTTTTTTTTTCTAATTAAATTTAATTTTTTTAAAAAAATTTTATTGTTGGTTGTTCAAAACATTACATAGTTCTTGATATATCATATTTCACACTTTGATTCAAGTGGGTTATGAGCTCCCATTTTTACCCCATATACAGATTGCAGAATCACATCAGTTACACATCCATTGATTTACATATTGCCATACTAGTGTCTGTTGTGTTCTGCTGCCTTTCCTATCCTCTACTATCCCCCCTCCCCTCCCCTCCCCTCTTCTCTCTCTGCCCTCTCTACGGACATTCATTTGTCCCCCTTGTATTATTTTTCCCTTTCCCCTCACTTCCTCTTGTATGTACTTTTGTTTGATAAAGGGGCCAAGTTTGTTCTTGTTGGAGCTTTAGGGAGGAGCAGCCAGTGCGGCGAGCAGCGCCCCGGGGCCCTCTCTACTCTCCGTGGGGGCGCGTTTCGGTGCTCGAGCGTGGAACCGGGAAGGAAGGATGACCGATGGGATAACGGACTTAAGCCCGCAGGGGAAGGCCTGGCTGTGCGGGGCACCCGGCCTTGCCCGCGCCTGCCCCAGCGCAGCAGGTGCACACAGCAGTTCCAGAGGACCCAACCACCGGGAGGTGGCATCCACTCCCTCTGCCCAGAGCTGGCCTATGTGCCCACGATGCCGCCAGAACCTACCCAACAGCAGCGCTAGCTGCACCCCCATGCTCCACCTCAACATCCACCTCCTCACCTGGCCCTAACCTGTTCAGCCTTTCCAGTCGCAAAAGAAAAGGGTGTGACCCAGGAACCCTCACCCTGGGGCGCAGCAAAGACTGGGATCCTCACCCCAGCCAGAGCGCACGGCGGCAGGAAGGAGGACCGATGCCCACACACTTCTCTTGCGGGCCAGTTTTCAGCAGTGGCAACTCAGAAGTCCAGACTCGCTGCTACTCGGTCTCCGCGTCTCCCCAGACAAATCCCGCCGGCAGTCGCCCAGCAGCGGCTGCTAACCGCGCATGCGCGAGCGGCGTCCGGCGGCGAGGCGGCCGCGGCCCCAGGCGCGTGGAACGCTCACCTGCAGCTGGGCGCTCAACTGCCCGCGGGCCCTGGGCCCGCAGTAAAGCGTGTCCTCCCGGGCTCGCGCCGCGCGGCTCCGAGACAGCGGATCCTGGGCGCCTGCATCTCTGGGCAAACAGTAGGTTCCATAATTGGGCCCTGAATTTTATGTAAATTGCACCATAATTGGATCCTGAATTTTAGGTACATCACGTTTTTGGACGGTGCTCCCTTAACAGATACAGCAGGTTTAGATTAGCATTCTAGGTTTCTTCTAGAGTTCTGTATTTTAAGATGTGAGCTGTGATTGTTATCAGCAGGAAGGCCTGCTATTTCATCGGCGTGTATGATATATATTAGATGCTAATGTAATAAATTATATATGAAACACTGCGTTTCTTTCGACAACATTATTAAGAATTTACCTGAGACGCATGACGTCCATTGAGCCTTTTCTTGGTGGTGCTAATTTTGAATACTTTCCCTTCTGTACAGCTCCAACTCTCCATTTGTAACTGATAAGTAATCTGTGTGAACAAACTTTGAGGATGTGTAAATATCTGGTTCTTCATCAAATTTACTATTCCACTCTCTCTACCCTGAGTTTAGGAACTATCAACAATACTTGCCTAGATCAGTGATTTTCTAACTCTCATTTTCCTTCTATAATAGGCAACGTTCCATTAGAGTTTTTATTTACCCATTCATCTATTGTATCGTAGGTATACAATTGTTCCTCCTCCTCCTCCTCCTCCTCCTCCTCCTCCTCCTCCTCCTCCTCCTCCTCCTCTTCTTCTTCTTCAATGAATTACAGTCCATTTCTGTGTTGAGTTATTTTGGTGCTCAAATGGTCCCAGAATTGATAAATGGAAGTCTTTTCAAGCTAGCTCTGGTATTCTTTGTGCATGTTTGGCACACAATTTGATAACTTTTGACATATCACAACAAATACTGAATTAGTCAGCTCCAGTTGTTTCCCTGTCCCTATCCCTAAGCAATCACAGATTTTTTTGTTTTGATTAGATTGCATATTTTAAGAATTTAATATAAATGGAACCATACAACATGTACTCTTTTTGAGGGGGGGGGGTTGTCTTTTAAGCTGCATTAATTACTTTGAGTTCCATCCTTGTGTTTGTATTGTTAGTTCCTTTTAATCACTGTTACCTCTCTGTTTATTACATGCACATCTTAATGGACAGGTCTTGTCAATTACAAATAAATATGCTGTAAACATTCAGTACAAGTATTTGGAGGCACATACGTTTTAATTTCTCTTGAGTAACTAGGAGTGGAAAGGGTGAAATATGTGGGAGTGCATTTGTTTGACTGTTTAAGAACATGCTGAGAGCTATTTTCCAAACTGGTTATGCTATTTTATGCTCCCATTAGCAATGCATGAGAGTTTCAGTTGCTGTACATGGCAAGATTGTTTAGTAGGTCACTTTAATTTTAGCCTTTCTAGCAGCCAGCAATATCTGTGGTTTTAAATGCTACATAGTTTTCTTAACAATTACCAATACCCTCTGTAGAAGTTGCATTCCCACAAACAGGGTATGAGAGTTTATTCTCACTTATCAAGGAAGTACTCATTCATCAAATTTTCTCCAAAGTTTTTATAGGAAATAGGTGTTGAATTTTTGATAGGTTTTGTTTTCAGCCTCTGTGGAGATAATCATATGATTTTTGTTTTCTCCTTAGACCTCTTGGGATTGTATACTATCATGATAGCCTCCCTAAAAGAATCCTAACAACTTCTTGCACTCTTGGTATAAATACCAAGCATGATATGTTGTTTTCTTAAAGTGGCTTGGAAGCTACTTCTAATTCTGCATTTAGGAATTCTGCACTATTATCATAAAAGATATTGCTCTGCAGTTTTCTGTGCTCTCATTATAGGGGTTAGATTCTAATGTTATATTTACACCATTAAAATAATTTGGAAAAATTCATATTTTGCTGTATTCTGAAACAGTTTAAAAGTACTGGAGCTACTTGGTTTCCAAAAGGTTAGTTCAATTCCCCTGTATAAGCACCTGGGACTGGTGCCTCTTTGTGCTGTTAGGTGATTTCTTGACCACATTCTCTATTTCTTTCATGAAAAAATGTCGTTAAGCTTTCTGTTTTTATTGACATCAGTTTTGGTAAACTGTGTTCCCTAATATATTATTCATTTTATCTGCAGGTAGAGAAATAAAGCTAACATCAGCAAAACAAAAATATATTAGCTTGTATGAACTTCTTCATAATTCATTGCCTAATAATGGCTTCCAAGTCAACACAGCATCTAAAAATGGATGCCAAAGATCTTAGAAAGAAAGGAAAATACAGTGTTTCAATCGGTAATACCAGCCCAGATTTACCTCCCACTATTTGTTCAAAACTGTCACAGTTCTACCCTAGAGTGGAAGTCCATGCAAAGAAACACAAAAGCCCCAAGACATTATTACACATCTATTTTAATAGAGGGTATCTCTTTCCCTTCCATTCAAGAGTGGAAACATATCTACTATTACTGCTAATATTAGTAACATTGCTACATTACTAGAAATTCACATAAATGTTCTGCTGTAATTTGGATCCAGAATGTCCCCCCAAAGAACGTTGCCTCTTGAATAAAACTGTACCTAGATTTAATTTTAATTCTACATATGAACCTGGAATATGCTCTAGCAGACTTAATTTTAAAATTTCAAAATTGAAGTTAAATTTAAAATCTTTGTAACATACATATATCCTCTTCTAAAAGAACAACTAAATGGACACATGTGAACAGCACGTCTTTCATATTTTCTTTGCAAATTGGCATGTGATAAAGTTATACTGAGGTAAATGTGTGAAGAATTGGTACAGGTAAGATGGCAATAAAAAATTAAGATGCATTTGATTAAAGGATAAAAAGCAAGAAATATCTCTTATATTGCTCAAAGTAAATAAAGTCAAATCCAAAAGAAAAACAGCAAGGAAAAAAAAACAATACATTTTAATAGATCCCTGTAAGAAACTGATGGGTGAGGCAGAACAAATAATGTTTTAAAAGATTTAAGCAACCAAATGAAAAGCCCAGACCCGATAATTAGGAATACTTTAAAAAGACATGTTTAAAGCATAAAATCAACATTTGTAAAAACAAATGAGATCCACATATTTTTAAAGAAGTATACAGAAACTATACAATTTTTCCAAAATTATACTGAACATAAGGATTCACAACAGTTCTAAACTTTTATCACACAGATAACATTCTCTTAACAATGCAATCAAATTAGAAATCAACAATAAAAATAAATGGAAATAAAGCTAACATCAGCAAAACAAAAATATATTAGCTTGTATGAAAAAGCAAACATACTCCCAAATAATCCACAGGTTAAACAAATCCTTCAAATGAAATGGTTATCAAGAATATTTACATAACAAGGTGTTTAATAATCAGCTTAAATGGCACCTAGGAATAAGTTTAGAGTTTGCAATGTTATTTATTAAAACACAAGAAGATGTTTGGCACTGCCAGCCTTGCTCAAATTTGTGCTTTCTATTTCTTTAGGTATTGCAGCAAGATGGAGAAGACCATATGCCAATTGGACAGAACTTGTCTGTGACAGTAATACATTTCTGAGCTTTAGCTATTTATTGAGATTATGGGATAGCCTTGTTTTCTATGTTGATAGAATACAGTTCTTAATTTTTTAAAATGTCCCTGCCTTTACTGATTTTTAGATAGTAAATTGTAGTAGTTACACACATCATAAATAAAAAGATCGATTATTACTGTTATTATTATCATTATTATTTTGGCAGTACTGGGGGATGGAACCTGTACATTCTAAGCAAGCACTCTACCACTGAGTTGCACCCACACTTCCTGTTCTATTTGTTCCCCCTTGGCATAAGAGGTCATTTAAAACTTTCAAGGTTGTCAATTTCTTCATTGCTTTTTCTCTTCTGGATGATTAAGTATTCTCACTATTTCAATTTCTGAAAGACGATATTAGAAATCAAGTTTATTTGAAGTTCCAAGTATTGCAGTTTCTTCTTGATATTTTTATTATCTTAGAATTTTCTGAAATAAAAGTGAGAAAACTTTAACTTTGAGAAAACTTTAACTTTGAGAAAAAACATAACTCATAAATATATAATTATTTCTCTAACAATTGATAGTTTATTTATTGTTTCTTCGTTGATATCATTACATCACCCTTTAAAGGGAGAAGATAACTTTGCATTGACAAATGAAATAATTCTTAAGATGCATTATTAGATAATGCCTATTTCAGTACTGTCATGGTGTTAAAATTAGCGAAAGTGAGCCAATCCCCCCCAAAAAAACTAATGCCTAATGTTTTCTCTGATATAAGGAGACTGATACATAGTGGGGTAGGGAGGGGAAGCATGGCAGGAATAGAAAAACTCTAGATAGGGCAGAGGGGTTGGAGGGGAAAGGAGGGGCCAGGGGTTTAGCAATGATGGTGGACCGTGATGGACATCATTATCCTACGTACATGTATGAAGACACAAATTGGTGTGAACATAATTTATATACAACCAGAGATATGAAAAATTGTGCTCTATATGTGTATTAAGAATTATAATGCATTCTTGCTATCATTTATTTTTTTAAAAAATCAACTAAAAAGTTAAAAAAGAAAACAGGACCATGAATGGCGACTTGGATATAAGAAAAGATTTCCTGCAAGAAATGTGGCTGAGCCGAAACCTGAGAGTTAAGAAGGGTTAAGGAAAGAGTGTTTTAGAAAGGGAAAATGTTCAAGAAAAGACATAGTAAATTCAAGGAGTCAAAATTGACTTAGTTTGGTCTCGTTTAGTAGTTAAATTAAGGGTTGAGAGGGGATGGGAACTTCTGAGGAGGAGAATGCAAAAAAAAAAAAAAAATGAAACTGAAGAAATAATAAAAAGCTTGAATATGAAGGCTGTCTCTAAATCAGGCTCGTGACTTTGAACTTTTCTGTAAAGGCAGTGAGAATTTATGGAAGGATTTAATCCAAACAATGAAAGTTCAAAAAGTTAAAGAGTTTCATTTGGGATCTATAAGACTTTATAAGTCTCTTGTGTGAGGTATTGAGGAAAGAGCTAATAATATGAAATCTTAGATACTAATGTTGGTTTT